GCCACTCGGAGGCCTCAGACAAGCATTCTGGCGCGCCCCGGCGTGCAGACGAGACAGTGGCGGAGGCTTCGGGCGGCCAAGCACACGGACTTCGTTTTCTTTTCGTTTTGAGATCTCTTCGGGTCCCTCCCTCCCTAGGACCTCCGACGGCCCCGGACGGCCCAGCATGCCCAGCGTATCGCCCCCCTGCGGCCCAGGATGCCCTCTCGGGGCCGTCTCTGGAGCGGGAAGGCCGAGGAGCTGGGAAGTGGACGGGTCCGTCTTGGAGCGGGGAGACGAGCGACTGGGGAAGTTCGCGGGCTTCCTTCCGTGCCCGCGAGGTCGGCCGAAGGCCCAGTAGAACTTTGAAACAACATTTACCCAGGCGAAGAATTCAACCCATTCTGCGGACACGGAAACGACCGGCATGACCGCTCAATGCACAAGAACTCGTGAGGGGGCTCCGCAGTGTCCCCTGATTGCTTAGAACGTCGGAACAGGCTCGGTACGCACTCGCGCGACGCACATCGCACGCGGGAGGTTGACCATGCACGCGGCGCGGAGCACGAGGGAAACGGCGAAGGAAACAAGGAGCAGGCTGATCTCCAAAAGCTGTTCATAGCTCCAGCGCAGTGCGCGGAAGTCCAGGCAGGGGGGATGCGCGACTGCGCCCCGAACTCTCGCGACTCCCTGGCCGGCTCAGGCTTCGGCCGCGCGGAGGAGTTCGAAGCCCAGCGTCGACGTGTGAGGGATCTGCCGAAGTGGGGCGGGTCACCCATGTGGACCCTGCCGCTGAGGCTCCCGGTGGAGCTCCATATGGGGCCACGAAGCGTGTGAGGCGTCTGCCGACATGGGGCGGGTACCCATCTGAACCCTGCCACTGGGGCTCTCGATGGAGCCCCCTTACGGGGCCACGCAGTGTGCGAGGGGTCTACCGACATGCGAAAGGGCAAAAGAGAAGAGGTGGATGAGGCCTCCTGCACCGCTATAGCCGTCGCTGGGGCCTTCGGTGGAGCTGCTTAGGGGGGTACGACCCGTGTGAGGTGTGTGACGAACATGTAATGATATTGATGATGGTGGTGATTGATATCAAGATGATGAGGCTGACGAGGATGAGGAGGAGTACGAGGATGAGTATGAGGACGAGGACGAGGATGAGCATGGATGATGATATTGATGATGATGATGATGATGATGATGATGATGATGATGATGATGCTGATGCTGATGCTGATGCTGATGCAGATGCTGATGCTAATGCTGATGCTGCTGATGCTGTTGTTGATGGTGATGTTTATGCTGATGATGCTGATGCTGCTGACGCTGATGCTGCTGCTGATGATTATGATGATGATGATGATGATGATGATGATGATGATGATGATGATGATGATGATGATGATGATGATGATGATGATGATGATGATGATAGTGTTGATGATGAGGAGAATGATGATGAGGAAGAGGACAATAATGAGTAGCAGGATGAGGAGGAAGAGGAGGAGGATGAGGAGGAGGAGGAGGAGGAGGAGGAGGAGGAGAAGGAGGAGACGCGCGGCGTGGCGAATTCAAAACGAGGACCTAACTCCACAGGAGGCTTGGGGACGAAAGCCCTACCTAACGTTTGTCATGCCGTGCACCCCCGTGGCACGCCAACAGTGGGCGGCGGATAGTAGCGGTCGTTGGCCCAACATGCCGCCGTGCGTGGGATTGTGGGTCGGTGTCCTCAGGGCTGTGTCGCGAGACACGAGCTGGAGTGTCATCTGATCCTCTGTGCTCCCCGCTCTGGCCCCCCAAGTCCTGAGTCTTTGGGGCTCCCAGCGTGCCGGCCCCCCCAGCGCGTCTTCTCGCGTGGCATTTCGGGCCCGACCTCCTCCTCCTCCTCCTCCTCCTCCTCCTCCTCCTCCTCCTCTTCCTCCTCCTCCTCCTCCTCCTCCTCCTCCTCCTCCTCCTCCTCCTCCTCCTCCTCCCTCCTCCTCCTCCTCCCCCCCGCCTCCTCCTCCTCCTCCTCCTCCTCCTCCTCCTCTCCTCCTCCTCCTCCTCCTCCTCCTCCTCCTCCTCCCCGAAACGGCCCGAGACGGCCAACGAGGGCCCGCATCAAAGGCGAAGCAACAGGGTCCGATGAGGCTTCGAAAGCGGCCCAAGAGGGCCCCAAGGCGGCCGCCAGGAGACCCCAGACTTGCGGATGCTCCCGAAAGACCTTTCCGATAGACCCCAACAGGCGGTGGTGGGAATGTTCTTCGTGATCGGAGGTTCCATCTATGAGTTCTCTTGACAAAGAGCCACGTGCGTCAGGGCACGGTATTGTCTTTACGATCAGAGGTTAGGGCGTCCAAGAGGGGCCTACGAGGGCCCCAAGAGGCTTCCAAGAGAGCACAAGAGGGCCATAGGAGGCTGCAAAGAGGGCCCACGAGGGCCCCAAGAGGGCCCCAAGACGGCCCAAGCCTCCCAAGACGGCCCAAGAGTTCCCTATGACGGCCCAGAATGCTTCCACGAGGATCCCCAACACGGCCTGACGAGGCAAAACACATTATAACATCCCTGAGGCGTTTTATTGTTTTTTGGTTCTCGCCTTTTTTGGCCCAGATCTGCCCAAGACGGTTCTGAGGGCCTCCGAGATGGCCCCAAGATGGGTCAGGAGGCTCACAAGAGGGCCCCAAGACGGCCCAAGAAGGCCCCAGGACGGCCACAGAGAGCTCCCAGACGGCCCAGGAGAGGCCCACGAGGGCCCCAAGAGGCTCCCAACAGAGCCCCCTAAGAGGGCCCCAAGACACCCAAAACGGCCCCCAGAGGACCTTCCCCAGTGACGGACGGAGCTGTGAAGCCAAGGCTCCCAAAAGCACCAAGTGATTGGAACGCCTTTTTCACACGAGTCGCTGACGTAAGAAGCTTTCAATGCCAAGGGTCCTAAGGGCGAGCGGTGGTGCAGAAAGCTCTTAACGCCAAGGCTCCCAAGAGTGAACGGTGAAGTAAACAGCTCTTAACGCCATGGCTTCTAAGAGCAAGCGGTGACGTAAGCAGCTCTTACTTTCGAGACTCCCAAGAGCGAACAATGACGTTCACAACTCTTCACTCTAAGGCTCCCAAGAGCGAACGGTGACGTAACAAAGGTTCCCAACAGCGAACGGTGACGTGTAAAAGGTCTTCGCAGCAAGGCTCCAGGGAGCGACCGGTGATGTGAACAAATTCTTAATGCCAAAGCTCCCGAGAGCGAACGGTGCCGTGATCATTCTCGGGCAAGTTCCTGAAGCGCTCTTTCCGTTCCCATGCCGGCCCAGGTTCTAACACGCCTCAACGTGCAGAAGGGACGGTGGCGGATAGTTTAGGGATGGAGGCGTGGCAGCCGAATGGCACGCCAAGGCTTGTGCGGATCCGTGAAGACCAGTGCACAGCTTGACTTTGAGTATGTAGGAGCAGGGAGGAGGTGAGAAATGGGATTAGGATGATGACGAGGGAGGAAGAGGACGAGAGGGAGGAGGAAGAGGAGAAGGAGGAGGAGGAGGACCAGTGTAAGCCCAAGACTCACCAATGATGCTGCAATAGACCCTCCCTCCAGGTTCCCCCTCTTCAGATATAGGTCCCTCCAAGGATTTATTCTCACTGCGGGAAGCGGCATGTTGGAAGACAACCGTTCGAAAATCTTCAACCACGCTAGAACACCATTGCTGGGACTCCAACACCGCGCATTCACGTGACTGTCGCGTCGTGACTCGCCGAAAACGTCCCAAAACATTATTTCTGGGGCGTCAATCATAATAATCCTTGAAGCTGCTATCAACAGTTGAGACGAATGTGCGCGGTGCTAAGGCGAGAACCACATTTTGAAAATGGCCCGCCCTCCATCCGTGACGCTCTTGCAGGTTTTAAGACGAATTTGCGCGGCGCGAAGGCGAGAGCCACATTTTGAAAACGGCCCGCCCTCCATCCGTGACGCTCTGGCAAGCTTTTAGGACGATTGTGCGCGGCGCTGAGGCGAGAGCCACATTTTGAAAACAGCCCGCTCTCCATTCGTGGAACTCGTTGTGCACTTGTGAGCTTTAGGATCATCAACGATGGTGACATCTCAGGCGAACCGCCTGGCCCTCCCTACCGAACGGTCTCGGGGTGCGACAGGGAGGAGTACATGATAAGGAAGAGGGATGGAGGAGGAGGAGGAGGAGGAGGAGGAGGAGGAGGAGGAGGAGGAGGAGGAGGAGGAGGGGGAGGAGGAGGAGGAGGACGGGGTGGAGGAAAGCGCCAATCAGCACGCGGTCTGAACTCGCGTGGGTCTCAAAGTCGACCTCGTTCCCTCGGCCTTGGAGCAGTCTTATGCCGTCTGGGAGATTTCTTGGGCAGTCTTGGAGGTTTTCTCAAGCCTTCCCAAGAGGATCTGCAGCCTGAAGGCCCTCAAGCTAACAGCATTGTTTTCCCCAGGTGTTTGAATTGTTTTTGCCTCCTCGGTCTTCGCTGGAGGCCTCTTTGGGAGTCTCTTGGAGGCTTCTTGGGCCCTCTTGGGGCATCTTGGTGACGTCTTAGCCTTTGGGTGCTCCTTGGGCCGTCTCCAAGTGTTCTTGGGGCTTCTTACAGCCGTCTTGAACGATTTGTATTTGGCAGAAAGTAGCCCTGGACTGCACAACCAGTGGTGGGCGATTTTTCGACGACGTGCGCTACGAGAGGGGGGGTCGGTCTTCGAAGTACGACACAAGTCTCACCAGACAACACATGAGCATTCTCACACGCCCAACGTGCCGCTGGCGCAGAGGGCGGATTTGAAGGATAATGGGTGCATTGCCCAGCCCTCCTACTCGTGTCGCTTCCTTTTTCGGAAGAGCTATTCTTGTGATATGCATATGCACTGGGTGGTATTTTGACAATGGAAGAGTGATGGACACCAGACTTGACAAGGTGTGGTAGGTTTGCTGAGGATGAGTGCTGCACCAGTTAGGCGTAATCTCATGGACGATGTGTGTGGGGGGCCGAAAAAAGAGTAGCGCATTGGGGAGACAGAAGCATCGATTCACCCCCGCTGGTGACAATGCCAGGTGGAAATCCCGCAAGCTTCCAGCCTGATGCTGCGGTCAGCTGCTCTCAGCGGCTACGCCGTGCTGGACGTGACCTGCGAGGATGTTACCAGGAAGCTGCTTGGGCTTGAGGGGGATGGGCCGAGAACGCAGAAGCAGCCACGAAGAGGATGAGCACTCAGGGTGCGGATGTCGTCGATGGCCTCAAAGGCATCTTTATCTCTGGCTTCGTCAACGCTTGTGCCATGGAGGTTCTTTTGGACAGGGGTCACCGTGCTCGAGACATCGTCGCAACACGGACATGATAGCAATGAAACTGGCGCCGATCGCAGGCCCTGACGATCTTAGAAATAAGGTATCTTCTAGGCTTGTTGAGATCTGATCACACATGTGAATTCGTACGCCAAATATTGGAGCTATCAACAGACGCAGCGCGATGATGACGATCATCATGATAGCATGAGAGTCTTTCATGCTTATACCCAAATGCACGCAGACGAGGGATAATCGGCTTACAGGGTGTAATTTCGGCGACGGACGTGATTGCTAAGGCATGAACGTATACTCCAGGTCCAACGCACATCATCAACATCGTACACCCCCGTACAAGATAATTGCGGCACAGCCGGCGTTCCTCTGGTCGCACGTGGCGTTCTCTGTGGTGCCGGCGATGCTGGCGACGTCTGTTTACAGCGTTGGCCATCCGCTGCGATGACTGGGCGCAGGGCCTCGAAGCGTTGGAGTCCCACATTGTTGTTCTGGCCCCGAAGAGTTTTCGTTTTGTTTTTGTTTTTGTTTTGTTTGGTTGCTTTGTTTTGTTGTGTTCTTGTTTTTGTATTGTTTTGTTTTCTCGAGCTCCAGGGGCCTGGCGCGCTCTCCCCTGGAGTCCCAGGCCCCGCCGCCCCCACTTCTCTCTGGATCCCCGGGGGCCTTCCCGTCCTCCCGTGACGCCCAATCGATTACACGTAAGAGTGACCCTTCGCCGGATTATCCTTTGGTGCGGGCTCAGCTCATTGGGGTCCCCCGACCGCCGAGCGCGAGGCGGCAGTGGCGTCTTGCGCAGTGGGGTTTGGTCCCCCCCGCGGCTCCCTAACAGCCGCGCACCAAAGGTCACTCTTGCCCAGGGTCACTCCTGCGTGTACATTGCCGAGAGGGGGCGTGTGTGTGTGTGTGTGTGTGTGTGTGTGTGTGTGTGTGTGTGTTGTGTGTGTGTTGTGTGTGTGTGTGTGTGTGTGTGTGTGTGTGTGTGTGTCTGTGTGTGTGTGTGTGTGTGTGTGTGTGTGTGTGTGTGTGTGTGTGTGTGTGTGTGTGTGTGTGTGCGTGCGTGCGTGCGTGCGTGCGTGCGTGCGCGTGTGCGTGCGTGTGCGTGTGCGTGTGCGTGTGCGTGTGCGTGTGCGCGCGCGCGCGCGTGTGTGTGTGTGTGTGTGTGTGTGTGTGTGTGTGTGTGTGTGTGTGTGTGTGTGTGTGCGTGTGTGGGTGTGTTTTTGTGTGGAGTCGGCTGGGGGTCTGAGGTGGGCGGCCCAGCACTGGTTCTGGCCAGCAGGTGGGGCGGGGGCAGGTCCGAGGTGCTGGGCCCGAGTACCCAGGCTCACTCTTGCGTGTAGCCGATGACATCCACGTGTCTGGCCTCGGAACGCCATAAGACGCTTCCTGGAACGCGTCGACCATGGCCTCGCAGGGCCAGGGCGCGGCTCGCGGGGTGAGGCGGCGGCCCTTTGCGGGGGCCGGGCGCGCCCCACGAGGGCTCGGCGCGGCGGAGGCAGCTCGCGACGAGGCAGCTCGCGACGAGGCCCGAGGCAGCTCGCGACGAGGCAGCTCGCGACGAGGGGCAGTGGCGCGATGCCGGGCTCGGCGCGGCGGAGTATGGCGCGGTCTCGTAGCCCCCTCCTCCGCCCCCCCCCCCCAGCGTGTGTGTGGACGGGAGGCGGCGGAGCATGGCGCGGCGGAGCCCAGCGCGCGAGGCGGGCGGGGAAGAGAAGCGGCTTCGAGGTGTGATTTGCGCTTTCCAGTGCTCCCCCCGGAGGCGGAGGAGGAGGAGGAGGAGGAGGAGGAGGAGGAGGAGGAGGAGGAGGAGGAGGAGGAGGAGGAGGAGGAGGAGGGAGGGAGGAGGAGGAGGAGGAGGATGAGGCTGAGGAGGAGGAGGGAGCGGCGGAGGAGGCGGAGGAGGTGGCGGAGGAGGAGGAGGAGGAGAATGAGGTGTCATTTTCGGAAGAGGGCAAGGTTTCAGACCTGCTTGTCCTTGCCCCGCGGCAAGTGTCCTGGCTCGCTCAGAAGGCTGCCCAGCGCAAATCGGATGTGACGGCCTTGTGAAGGCCCACTGGACTGACCACCACCAGGAGTCGCTGCGCAGCTTGGTTTCACAACGTTCTTGGTCACGGGCCCGCTCCTGCGAGCATGGACTAACCGGGGACCCACTCTGCCTTCCGCGTAAGGTAGGCCCTGGAGCGCTGTGGCACCGCCGCCCAGCCGTGCGCGGAGAGAGCTCCACTGCACGCAGTCCAGAGCTCCTCAGAGCGGCTGGGCTACTGGAAGCCTGGCACCAGGATCTCGAGAAGGCGGCCGCTGGCATCTCCCCTCTCCCCTTTGAGCTGGCTCCTCCCCCTCTCTCCCAAAGCCAGGTGGGAGCTCATTGGATCAACCAGCCTGAGGACGGGATGCTCCGTGGGCTGGTTTTCTCGGACGGGTCCTGCCAGGACCCCACGGATCCCCAGATGGCCCGAGCGGGCTAGGTCAGGCCATGGTCACAGACGATGGTCAGTTTGCTACGGCCTGCTACGGGGTAGTCTCACTGGAGGCTGCTCCGTTTCAATCTGCCAGGGGTGGGGAAGACTACGCACTTTGCATGGCAGCCTGTGGAGCTGTCGATGTGATGGACGGTCTCCTTTTTTCCATGGATTGTTGTGGAAAGCTGGGAGCGCTGCGACGCCCTCGGCGTGGCCGGCCCGCCAGCCACCGGCATCGAAGCGCCCTGCCCTTTGGGCGTGCGTGGAGGTCGGAAGGATCGGCCTTCGCTGACCAGCATGCCGCGTCGGGTGCTGCCTGCCACCCCGGCGCGGACAAGACGAAAAGGCGACGGCTCGCACGTCCTCTCCCGGGCGGCTCGGGCGTCGGGCCGCGGGGCCGCCGAGTGGGGGGGTCCTGGACGGCCTCGGGATGCCTCCGCGACGCTGAGGACTGGGCGGCGGTCGGCCCCGAGGCCAACCGAAGAAGCCCCCAGAGGCAGCAGGCCCCCCCCTCCCAGAGCTTCGAAGTCATCGTCAAGTGTTTGCCCGCGCGTCCTATTGCGCAGGCTGCTGCAGAAGTCCTGATAGGGGGCTCACGCGGCATGCCGTCATGAAGGCGGTGGTTCGGAAACGACGGTCGGCGCGTGCCCCGCGGTTCCACGGTTCTCTTTTTGACACCTCCTGTGGCGCGTACAGGTGGGGTGGCATCACATCGCTATGCAAGAATTGCCCCGAACCACCCCTTCCGGATGCGCTTCGACGCCGCGAGTCTCGAGCCGCCCAGAGGCATTTCCCAGGATGGGCGCCCCAATACAGCCGGTGGACCCTAGGAGAGCCTCGCCCCGTCCGTCCTTTCGATCGCGAGCTTGCTGCCAGTTCTCTGACAGTTCGCCTTTCAAACCTCCAGCTGGTGGGGTTTGGGGACTCGGTGGAGTTCGGTGGGCGGGGAGTGTGGGGGGAGCAAGGGACTGATCAGCAGCCCGTCTCTCGCTTCGGTCTGGCACTTACAGATGTTGAACACTGGAGCAAGAAGCTTCAAGGGCTGCAGCGTCGCAAGAAGCGGCTCGAAGGGCCTCCAGCCAATTCAATGCTGCAGTACACTTTTCTTATTTCGTCTGGTCATCCTCTCTCGACCCTCGGGAGAGCAGCAGATTTCAGCAGCTGCCGAGTGTCACTGACTTTGGCCGTACTGGGAAATATTGAAGGAGGAGGAGGAGGAGGAGGAGGAGGAGGAGAAGGAGGACGAGGAGGAGGAGGAGGAGGAGGAGGAGGAGGAGGAAGGAGGAGGAGGAGGAGGAGGAGGGAGGAGGAGGAGGAGAGGAGGAGCAGGAGGAGGAGGAGGAGGAGGAGGAGGAGGAGGAGGAGGAGGAGGAGGAGAGGAAGAGGAGGAGGAGGAGGAGGAGGAGGGAGGAGGAGGAGGAGGAGAGGAGGAGGAGAGAGGAGGAGGAGGAGGAGGAGGAGGAGGAGGAGGAGGAGGGAGGAGGAGGAGGAGGAGGATGATGCAGAGGAGGAGGAGGAGGAGGGAGGAGGAGAGAGGAGGAGGAGGAGGGGGGAGCAGGAGGAGGAGGAGGAGGAGGAGGAGGAGTCAATGCACCCCTTCCGCACCACCAATCTTTCGCTCTGCCTGCTCTCTCTCTCTCTCTCCTTGCGCGCGCTGCCTGCCTGCTGTACTGACTGACTACTTCTGCTCCCGCAGCTATACTACTTTGATTCTGGGGAAGAGGAAAAGGAACGAGCCTGCGGCGCGCGCGCGCGCGTGCGTCGGCCGACGGGCTGGTCTCCTCCCTTCTGTGTTGCCTTAGTGTATGCTTGACAGCGTTCTCCCTTCTTACCCATGTCATTTGCGGAGCCCACTGACCATGATGTATCATCGGAACATCTTGCAGGGATTCTGAATATCCAGGCAAAAGGCTGGAGGAGGAGAAGGAGGAGGAGGAGGAGGAGGAGGAGGAGGAGGAGGAGGACGAGGAGGAGGAGGAGGAGGTGGAGGAGGGCGATGACCTGAGGAGACGTTCCAGGCGCGCGCGCGCGGGGGCGGCAGCGGCGCCCGCCTCGCCTCGGCCCTCGGCCCCCGAGCCTGCGCAGGAAGGGCGCGCCGCTGGCTCACGAGCTGCTGCGCGACCTGCGGCGGCTGGCCTACGTCCTGGTCGGCCGGGCGGCCGTGGTGGAGCTCGGCCTGTCGGGCGCGGGGCTCAGCTCGGCGGCGAGCCGGGGGGCGGGGGAAACGACGAGGAGTCAGTATCGTTTCACCGACCCTCATCCCCATCCTCATCCCATTCGAGACCCCGCCATCTTACCACCCCGGTTGGGGATACACCCCTCGAAGCCCGAAGGGAACGGCCCATATCCCCATCTAGGGGGGTAAATCGGCCAGTTGGGCCCAGGCCACGTCACTGGGGATGGGGGTCGGATAAACGACGCTCAAGGAGGCTTGGAAGTCCCCGTGGCCTTCTGAGAAGTTTTCGAAGCCTTTCCCGAAGAAACACCAACACTTCGGAGAAGGCCCGATGACTGCTGAGACGTCGCGCGGCCTTCCGAGAAGTCAAGGCCTTCTCTTCTAACTATCCCCTGTCGCTCGCCTCCGACCAGCGGCTCCGCGCGATGGGGGGGCGCAGGTTTCAAAGGGCTGCAGGTGATGCGATCCGATGCGGTTTGACTCGTCGACTGGGGCCAGCCAGAAGCGGGCGCGCCCCTCCGATTTCGAGTCAATTCAGGGCGACGCGTTGTTGGTCCGATCCGCTCACGTCGCTTCGGTTCAGCCATTTGGCCGCTGAGAAGCACTAGGCAGCCCTGGGAATGCCAGGATCGCTGAGCCCAGAAAACTTTCGTTTGTCTGCGGTCCTTCGATTGAGTACTCCTCGCCTCCCTGGGCGCCGTAGTCACGGTCGGGGGCCAGACCGCTGAAGTGAAGGATCGCAGGGTTTGTAGGAGGAGCATCGAGGTTCGAGGATTCCTCGTCCTCGTCGTCGTCGTCCTCCTCCTCCTCCTCCTCCTTCTTCTCCTCCTCCTCCTCCTCCTCCTCCTCCTCCTCCTCCATCCTTCTTCCTTATAAACAGCTCCTCCCTGCCAGACCAGATACGTAGGTATGTTCTCCCCTTCCCAAACTCCCGCTCCTCGCTTTCTCTCCTACCCCTCGTCGTCATCGTCCTCCTCCTCCTTCTCCGTAGCAATTTGGGCTAATATGGAGTTTCTCAGTGGCAAACCTCCATAGCTTTTCAACACCTGGTGCGCCCCAGGTGTTGTTGCCTCCCGTTCCTGCGGGTGTGCGATCATTTCTGTGAGCTCCTGTCGGAACGATCTCATTCGCGATCGGCGGCAGGTATGCAGGTAAGGTTGGACAAGGTGTGGGCAAGTCGGCCCAGCAGTGTATCAATTGCCCGCAGTGTCGCTTGCGGTGGAATTTCAAGAACAACCATTGGTGTTACCAGTGTTCGAAGCCTCTCGTCAGCAGTCCGAGTGACGACAAGAGGCCGATGGGACAATAGTCGCAAGGCCCCCCTGCGATCGGTGACGGCCCCACCCCTGCTAAGGCTCCGTGGCATGTCGCTCCCAAAGGCGGTGGCAAACCGAAATGGCTTCCTCTCCCCAAAAAGCTTCGCCGCCGCTGTCCTCGCCCGAAAGCTCAGGCTTTTCGCGCGGGCCCTGGGTGTGTGGCACAGCACATGATGGTACCTTGGGGGGGTGCAGCGCGCGGGGATCAAGACTTCGATGACCACACGGGGAACTCCGTCGATCCCTTGGGCAGAGTTCAGGAATGTGCAGGGCGACCCTGAGGAACTCAGGGCTATCGCCGAGCAGCTGCAGGTCAGGCAGGAGGGTGCGTCCCCGATCGTGCAACCCGTGGCTGGAGTGGAGGAGGATGTGTCCGCCATAGGCATTCCATTCCGCAGGGCGCAAGGTTGGATCGACACGTGCGCCAAGCGGGTCCTTTCTGGGGAGCAGTGGTTGGCGGATGCCATTCAAGCGGAGGAAGATACCGTCGCTTCGGCGTTCGCCGCCCGTCAAGCGTGGGAAGAAGTGTGCGCTGAGCAGATCTCGGCACCGCCCCTCGGGACCCCGGCGTCGGCGTCACCCGCTCCATCTTCGACAATCGACCTGTCGACGCTCGTTGGCGACGGGTCGCTCACGAGCATCGATGAGCAGCTCTTTGATATGGGTGGCTTCGAGTTGGACGCCACGGACACGTCCGATTGGGAGCACATCACATCGGAATTGGCTTCGAGTGTGCAGCAGGAGGTACGGCAAGGCGTTGGGACCAGCTGCCGAGCAGATCTTCAATCTGCGCGAGGAGGCCAAGAATCTGCACGCCAGGCTGCAGTTCAAGCGTCGTCGAGGCCCATCCGGAGCAACAGTGGAAGCCGGGGGGGGGTCGTGAGCCGTTCCGTTCTCGGGCTCGTCGGACCCCTTGTCTGCTGATGAAGCCTTTCTGGTGAGCCTCCTATTGGTGCTGAGGGGCTTCGTGCAGCCGCGCGCGCGCCAACGTCAAAGGGGGTGGCGCTGACAGACCAGCTGCGGATGCGTCAAGTCTTTGGTCATTAATTACCAGGGGCGTGCAGCTCCTAAGAACGCGTCTCCCTTCGAGGTGGTGCAGTTGCCTTACGGTGACCTCGCATTTCCGTCCTGTGGTGGCATCTTCCCCGCCGCCGAGGAGGAGCTGGAGTTCGATTCGAGCCATGGGGGAACTCTAGTAGGAATGGGGGCTGAGGCCCCCGCGAGATGGGCCGACCGCCTTACGAGCTCCCGTTGCACTACTGGGAGAAGGATGAGGAGGAGGAGGAGGAGGAGGAGGAGGAGGAGGGGAGGAGGAGGAGGAGGAGGAGGAATCGGAGGAGGAGGAGGGGGGGGGGAGGAGGAGGGGGAGGAGGAGGAGGAGGAGGAGGATGAGGAGGAGGAGCATGAGGAGGAGGAGGAGGAGCGGGCTTTGTGCGACGAGCTGCGAGGATTGGCCGCCACGTGGATGGGGGACTTGTTTTGTGGGGGAGCGTAGTCGAGCCAGCTGGAGGTCGTGATGCGAGGCCTACCTCAGGCAAGTGCCCGACGACCCTCGCAGCGCCCCGTGGCGACGCAGGTCCAGCGTGCTCGGCCTGGGCGCTTCGTGTGATGACGTCGCCAGCGACGTCTGCATCGCTTCTTGGGGGCAGTCGGGCTTGCGCCGGGAGGGCTTCATTCAGGTGCTCGGCGAAGCAGTTCCAGAGTTGCGCTGTGGGCCATGGGGGGCCATCGCCACCGTGAGTTCACCCAGCTACGTTGGCTTCCCAGACGTGTCCAGCGAAACGGCGTCCTTCTTGGCAGCGGTGCAGCACGAGGGGTTGGATGCCCATCAGAGGTTCTCGAGGCGAGTGTCTTCGGAGTGCTGTCCAGGCCTTCCGGGGGCCTCCATCGTTTCCCGCGTGAACTCGATCAGGGGAAGCTGCGCTCAGGATCTTCGCGGTCTGCGGCTTGGCTTTCAGTCGGGGGGCGGCGCGGTCGGGGGGTGGCAGCGCGTGGCGCGTGTCGGTTCTGAGCCCCTGCCTCCGTTCGGAGAAGGTCGCGATGGGCGCCTGCCGGCGGCCTCTCATTCGAGGCCCCTTTCTGGGGTGTTGGCAGAGATGGCGTCGGTTGCCAGGTCGGCTTCAATTATTTTGCCATGGGGCATCTCAGTTGCCTTCCCAGTGAAGGTCGAGGCGGCGTCGCGGAAGGGGCCCGCGATGGGCCGGGGTTCTCTCGCGGAGCCCCGGGGCCGCCGCGCGGGGGCCCGCGGCGTGGAATCGGCCGGGGGGGGGGGGGGGCCGAGAGCGTCGCAGTAGGGGCGTGTTCTGCTGCGACTCCTGCGATTTTCGCAGCGAGTGCTTGGTCGAACGGTTGGGGGCGCCCCCTTCATGGAATTACCTTCGTCCTTCTTCGTCCGCTCTGAAGCGGGGCTGTCCGGGCTAGTCCAACCTGGCGTCCATGGCGATCTTGATGGGGGCCACCCCGCCCTCTCTGAGCGGGGGGGCGAGATCTTGCCACCCGCGCGGGTGGGAACCATGAGCGCGGCGCGCGCGTCATGAACGTCGAGGGGCAGCGTCGCCTCGGAGGCCCCGCCGGCAGATTTTGCAGCGGACGGCGCCGAGTTGGAATTCTGAGCCCTGGAGATGGCCTCCCAGGTTTGCCGTCGCATGTTTTGCCTGGCGCTAGAGCGCAACGTCCAGGGCTTGGCCGCTCTGATTCACGACTGCCACGTGGCGCGCTGGATGCATTCCATGGCCTGCTCGATGGCCTGGAATTCAAAGCTGACTGCGAAGTCGGATTCGGTCGGGGTGCTGCGGGTCAGCGCCCCCTGCGATGCGCGCCTCGAGCATCGCGGCGTCGTCGTCGCCGCGCGCGTTGCCGGGTGGGGGTTGCGCTGGGGAGGTCAGTGAGAGGCTGGGGACCAATGGCGACACTTTCTTTTGCTCTTATGGGAATCTCACGGACTGGGGGCCCCGGGCCCGGTGTTGCGCCGGCAGGCGCGCCCGTTCAGCGCGGCGCGCCCGGGGGACATGCGCGTCTTGGGGGCCGAGTTTCGCGCCGGCGTCGAGCAATGCCTTTCGCCGCGAAGGCTTGAAGGCGGCGTTCGCGGGCAGTGCCCCCGCGGGCATAGGGGGGCCGTCAGGTGGAGAGTTTGTCGCCGTCAACAAGCACCTTGCGACCGCCCTTGTCCGATGCGTCCGCCAGTCGGCCATGTGCGCCAGGAAAGCCGATCCGCCTTGTGGTTTTTCGGCGATGGTGGTCCAGTTGGCGCGCGGCAATTTGGCGGTTATTTGTATTTACCTCTGACCGAACCTCTTGGCGCGAGGGGGCAATCTCAAGATCCTTGCAGCCCTTGGGTCGTTCGTTGCGGGCCTGACTGACCCGTGGATCGTGGTTGGAGATTGGGGTCAGCAGCCTCCTGCTCCTGTGAGTTCAGGCTGCCCTGGCAAGCCGGGTGGCGAGCTGGCGCCTCCCGACGTCCTGTCACTTGCGACGGCTGCTGCGGGTTCGTGGCTGGTCGGCGCCTTAGTCGAGACAGGTGTGGCCCGGTACTTGGCTGCCCGGGGCTTGGCGGCGCCTTGGAAGACCATATCAGAGTGCTGGTGGTCGAGCAAGGTGCCCGCGCCAGGAGGTGGCATCATCATTCGGTAGCGCCGGTCGCCTTCCCCAGTTTCGCCAGACACCGGCAAGCAGGTGGCCCCGGCAGCAAGAGGGCCAATCGGAAGAAGGCCACGTTGCAGCACTGTCGGGGCAATCTGCCCGAGGAGCCGCGAGAATAGTTTGGCGCTCTGCGCGGCGAGCCCGATGTCCCAGCCTCAACTGAGCCAATCGTGGATTTCAGTAGTCCAGCAAAATCATGGCCTAAGAATGTGCCTCTGGGGAAGTCAGCTGGCGCGCCTGGGGTCAGCGCTGTCTGGGAAGCCCCAACTCCGTGGGCAGCAAGGATGCACCTTATCGCATGGCCAAGTTGTCGCCACGGTGGAAGCGGCTTTCGCTATCCATCATGTCTGCGAGGGCGACCCTCGTGGAGGACGCGGGGCTGGTCTTGTTATTCAGTGGCGACGCTTCCGAGCTACTCCTGGCGGAGTGTACTTAGCTGATCCTGTTGGCGAATGGTGGGGGCATGTGCCTACCCTTGTCCTACGATCGGTGGCTTCGCAGAGGTGCTGCAGAGACCCCGAGTAACGTGGGGAATGCTTGCGACACTTATCTACGCAGAGTGTGGCGGCGGCGAGTGTTCATTCGGCTGGGTATCTCAAGGCCCCATCGACGGTGCGATCTGGTTGGGTTGGGCACAGGATATGTCCAAATCTTGGAGCGGCTAGCGCATCGAGCTCATGGCAAAGCTTGACCAGGGGCCGGCGCCGTTTCGTGAAATGGGCCCATGAGCAGCGGCGCTCCTATCCTGGACGATTGTGCTCGGTTGTCAAAGAGCCCAAGTCATTCAGCGCAGAGTTCATCGTGAGTGATATAGCCATCGCCGACCCCGCCGAAATCATCGAGGTCAAGAGGCGGGCTTGAAGTCAGCCTTGGACCGACGCGGTGGGCGATCCCAGGGCTATCTCAGGCATAGTCAGAAACCTTTGAGGAAGTTATCTTTGGACATGTTGGACCAGGTCGTCGGGGAACTGCCCGTGAATGCTGGCGGGCCTGGCCCCCTCGCGCTTGGCGACCTTCGGCGGCTTCCCGCCGAGGTCTGTGTTGAGTGCCTTCAGTGGCTGAGGCTGGCGGAACTCCAAGGCGCGTGGCCCCTGGATGTCTCGGCCGCGGCATGTGCGTTGCCGCCCAAACCCAGATGGGGAGAACGCGCTGTCGGCTTTCTAGCGGTAGCCGCCAGCGCCTGGAGGCGAATGAGATGCGGTATTACGTCGGGGTCGTTTGGAGGTCTCCAGACCCGCTGGGGCGCCGCCGTTGCAGGGAGCAGCGCGTTGCGCGCAGCTCTTCTCCGATCGCTGCTGGGTGAGGCGGCCGTTATCCTCGGCCTCTCAACCTCCACCCTGCTGCTTGATTTAGATGTCCCAGCGCTCACTGTCTTGGGTTATCCTCGGGGAGGCTGCGTTGCAGGTGGAGTTCCCCGTCGATCGCGGTGTGTTTCGGGGTGCAGTCATGTGTGAGCCCGCGTTTCTTTCGCCGTGTTCAAGGAGTTGCGGAAGTAATGCTACCTGCCAGGTCTGTCGCGGCTGGGCCGCCGCGCGGAGAAATATTGGTATAGCTGTTCCTCCACCTTTTGTTGCAGAGGGCCCAGCAGCGCTCCGACTTCACCGCGTTCTGGGCGTTCATCGGTGACGCGGTGCTCCGTGATGAAGGTTCGAGTCTGCTCGTTAAAGGTCGGTGGGTGGTTGTTGCTTGTTATTTCAAAGAGGAACTGGAAGACGTGGGGCTGGTTGTGTCAGACAAGACGTCGCTCGCGGCCAATCGCTCGCGCCTTGGCGGTGGCATTAAGAGGTGCGCGAGGGAATTTGGCATCCACATTCAACATTGTCTCAGCGCCGTGGGCCCTGGAGTGGGCGCATCTGGCGGGGGGCGGAGGTCAATTCGCAAGTCGTCTGGAAAGATCGCGTCTGCCAGCGAGCGGGCTCTTCGCATCAATTTTTTTCTGCGGCATGCAGCGCTGGCGGGAGAGATCAGCCGAGGCCTCTGGTGCACTGGTTCATGGCTGCAAGCGCCGCGCGGGCATCGGGTGCAAGGCCTTGCTCCCCATCGGCTTCGCCGTTGCGCAGGCGGGCCTCCGATGTCGGCGCAAGTTGCCTTCCAGGCCGCCGCTTCGCCGGCGCGCATGGGGTGCTGCGTGGGCTCGAGTGGCCAGGTCTGGAGCCCCGCTGACAATTAGTTTTTCAGCGCCTCATCGTGGTAGCTTCATCCTGAATGCTGCGAGCGTGTTGCGGGGGCTTGGGTCAAGATCGCTCGGCGTTTGTATGTTGCAGGGCCGTCTCATCGTTGGCGAGTGGTTCGTGATTCTGTCTCAGCTTTTCTTGGTGCGCTCCGGGGCGTGGGATGGAAGGCGCCCTCGGCGACGGCCTGGCAGAGGTTGGAGCGCGGTCGTTGTGCGGGGTGGCGTATCCCCGCATCTTCGGCCGAAGGCGTCGTTGTCGGCGAGATGAACGACCTGATGGAGGACTGGTACTCTCAGGGTTGCCGTGCTGTCAGCCGTCATGAGGGCGCTGATTACCTTGTCGGTGGTGGTGGCTTCTGCTTAGCCAGGAGGCATCAGTGGTTCTCCAATTGCGGCGACTTCGAGGAGGCTGGTCAGACATTGTGTGTGGTCGCTGGCGCGCAGTGGCCGCGTGTGAGGCAGTTCCTAACAGGCGTGACTGAACGGCAGCTTTACCCTCCTTGTCGCAGGGTGCCTGAGACTCTTCGGCGCAGGGTTTGGGAATGCCCGTGCCACAAAGACCACGAGTATTTCGAGCTGTCCAGTTTTCATTTTCCTCGAGCCCTTGTGGGCGCCAGCGCCAGTCGAGGGCTTTGCCTTGCAGGTGTGCGCCCGACCGCCCTGGCCCATCCTGTTTTCCTGGGGCCTTCGGGATCGGGAGGTCGCTTTCCCTGCGGCCCCCTCCTCCCTCGGTGCTGTCCGTGCCCGAGGGCTCTTGCGATCCCGTCTTGGTTTCCGGGGGCGGCCCTGGCAGGCCTTTTTAAAGGCCGATTCAAGACGGCGTCGATGCGGCGTGGTCGTTGTCGGCATCGGGAGGGCCCCTGGGCTTGCCAGTTGCGAGACGGGCGGGGGCGTTTCGTGTATTTTACCAGGCAGGGTCCACACGGTCCCGCGTTCCGAGCTGTTGGCTTTCGCCTTGTGTCTGGAAGGCACCACTTGAATTGTTCACAACGTCTCGGATCATTATCGCTCCTCACTGCGTGGGACAAGGGTCGGGTGGACTCGTCGTTGGAAAGTCGGAACTGGGATATATGGCTCCGGGTTCTCGCTGCTCTTCGCGCCCGCGGTCCTGGGGCTGTCACCCTTGAGTGGATTCCGTCGCATCTTGAATTGGGCAGCGAGGAACTCACAGACCATCAGACGTTTGTCCGTGTTGGGAGTGATTTGGCTGACCAGGCGGCTCCGGCAGCTGCTGTGCGCTTCTGGGCCTTGTCTGTTGATGCCGAGCCTCGCGCGGACGTTTGGGATGCCCAGTCTGCGTTGGTTCGTCGGAGGCCCCGTCGGGCTCCTATCGAGTCGTCGGAGGCGGACCCCCGCCAAGCCCGAGCCGATGATGCCTCGTGCCGTTGATCGTGCAGTGCGGGCCAGCCCGCGCAAGTTTGTTGCTGACGGGGCCGATGTTCGGTGCGCCTGGTGCGAGCTTCTGGTTTCTTGGGCCTGCTTTTCAGAGGCTTGTCAAGCCTCTTGCATCGTTGCCGCTGGGGTTGCCCTGTTTCCGTCCGAGGTTGTTTTTTTGGCCTAGGGGCCCGTTGCGGGACGCATCGCGACGCCGGGCGGGCGGCAGGTAATCAAGATATGCGAAGCCCTCTCCAGGAAGAGCATTCAGAATTTGGGCCGCATCCGCAAGGCTGTTCTCCCCTCTTATGTTGGGCCTCCCGAGGCAGTCTCGAGGCTCCGCGAGGGCCGAGTGTTGGCCTCGGTTCGGCAGCGGTTGCGTGCCGCCGTATCGGGATCGGTCATCTCGGATCCCTCCCCGTCCCTGGTGGGGCCCTCACCATTCCCGCCTCCCGGCGGGAGCGTAAAAGGGCTAGGGGGCGCTCTCCTGATTCGGAATGAGAGCGCTGGGATCCGAGTTGCGTCTGTCCCCCCCTCCCCTGCACGCTGTGCTTGTCAAAAAGTTTTACACATCGATCGTTCCTCCTCCTCCTCCTCCTCCTTATTCTGTATATTCTTAATCATGTTAAGCTTATTACAAGTCGATGATGATGATGGTGATGATGGTGATGATGATAATGATGCTGATTCCGCTAATGATGATGATTATGCTGCGGATGATGATGATGATGATGATGATGATGATGATGATGATGATGATGATGATGATGAGGATGATGATGATGATGATGATGATGATGATGATGATGATGATGCTGATGGTTATTGTTACTCTTCTTCTTAGTTTTCGTAGTAGTATTTCTTATAATCTTTAGTGTACCTATTATTATTGTTGTTAGTATTGTTAACATTCGTATTATTTTTCTCATTATCACCATCAGTATTCTGATTCTTCTTCTTCTTATGATTATTATTATCATTATTGTTATTATTTCTCTTCTTCTCATTATGCGCATTCTTGCTTTTTCCTTTTCTTCTTCTTATTCTTCTCCTCCTCCTCCTCTTCCTCGTCCTCGTCGTCCTCCTCCTCCTCCTCCTCCCCTCCTCCTCCCCTCCTCCTCCCCGCTCGCTTTCCCACCCTCCCGCCGCCCGAGGCGAGCAGCGGAGCGGGATGCAGTCGAGGGAGGTGGAGATCAGCTCCGACAACCTCCCGCCGGTGCTACAGGCAGCACCCTGTCGTCCTCGTTCTCCCGCCCTCCCCTTCCCTCCCTCCCTTCCCTCCCTCGTTTCCTCCCTCGCTCCCTCCCTCCCTCCCTTCATCCCTCCTTTCCTCCCTACTTCCCTCCCTCCCTCCTGAACTCCCTCCCTCCCCCTCCCCCCTGCCCCTCCCCCTTCCTATTCGCACGCAGCGGGGCGGACGCCCCTAGGGGATCCGTCGCCTACCACCGATAGCGATTGGAAGACTGGCGTCAAAATGGGGTTAGACATAGAATTTCTAGAAAGCGAACACAGAATGAACAGAAACGTTATAGTGCTTAAAGGACTGTAGTTCCGTTTGCACATTTTTTTATTCAAGTGTTTAGAATCATCTTAAATAATTAGTCGTATCGTTTATTGATT